GATCAGATACCCTTGTCCCCAGGTTTTAAAGTACCAAACTTCACTTTATTCAATGGAGAGGATCCTCATGCTTCATCAGTTGAGCATGTAGGCAGATTTTCCACCCAATGCATAGCCATAGGGAATAACCCACTGTTAAAGCTAAGACTTTTTGGGAACTCTCTCTCTGGACAAGCTTTCACTTGGTACACTAACCTGCCAGCAAATTCTATTCAGACTTGGGAGCAAATGGAGAGCGTCTTCCATGACTACTATTACAGGATTCAGCCAGAAGTCACCATCAGTGACCTTGCTGCTCTCAAGCAGAGTGAAGATGAACCTGCCCAAGACTTTATAAACAGGTTCAGGAAGCTCAAAATGAAGTGCCGCATCCCCATCGAAGAAAGACACTTCATCCAAATGGCTCAGGCTGCCCTCAAAATTTCTTTGAGGAAAAGATTTGATGGGATGTTGTTTGGAGATCTGGCAGAACTGGCAGATAAAGCGGCCAAGTACGAGGAATTGCTCAGAGAGGAACAGCAGAGGAGAAACTCTTCCAAAGGCACGTATTATAAATCCTCTTCTTCCTCAATACATATGATTGAAGTGGAGTCAGAAGAAGATGCAGAGGAATCGGAGGAGAGAGAGGTTGCAGTTGCGGAAATGGCAAAATTAAAGCATCCCATCAGTTGTAAAAACCTTACAAAGCCTTCAAGGGATCAGAAGCCGCCACCATTCACAGGAGGGTTTGTTCCAAACAAACCCATGCAGAACAAAGTGTATTCCTTCGATCTGACCAAAGTAGATGCTTTGTTTGATGAAATGTTGCTACAGAAAGCAATAGAGACGCCTCACAGAATGCCCAAACCAGAAGAACTCAAGGGCAGACAGTATTGCAGATGGCACAATTCTTGGAATCATTCTACCAATAGTTGTGTTGTTTACAGAGATGTCGTACAGGAAGGGATAACAGCAGGAAGGCTGAAGCTAGCAGAAAAACCTCCATCCGTCACCACAGATCCTTTTCCCCCGCCACAAGTTAATATGGTCAACCTAAATTGGCCAGAACGAAAGAATGACAGAACAGCTATAGAGGCTGACTCCCGTAGAAGCAGAATAATTTCAAAAGAGACTATGGAAAGACCAAAAGCAACCATTTCAGCTGGAATAGAGCTCTGCAGCAGGTGCAAGTGTGAGGCTGAGCTGGAGGTAATCCTGGAAAAACAGGATCTGCCCACTCCAAGTGTTTTTGACCGGATCGGAACCACGCCCCATGATAAGGCCAGACAGAGAAACTACCCTAGGCCTGTCCAATCCAGCAGAAAAATGACTAAGTAGCCCAAGGAGGAAATATCAATAAAAGTGCCCGGAAGTGATAAACCTTTGGCGGCCATCATTGAAGGCAGGTGGTATTCTGTCGGGAAAAGTGGCAGACCAACAATGGAGCTGACAAGAACCCAAAGGAGGAGGGTTCAGAGACAGTATTGCACATTCCTCAATAACGAGAAAAACGCACAGGTGCTTCCAAAGGCCAATCCTGCCAAAAAAGGGAATGAGCCAGAAATATTTCCCCAGACAGAACAAGCAATCTCTCAACCACAGAAGTTGAAAAAAGCAGAATCCTCAAAGAAACCTTTAACCTTCTATCCATTCTGCCTCCGCCTCAGAAAATCTACTTAAAACTCCCCGACCAGAGGAAAAAACCGATCCTATTCCAGAAGAAGGGCAAGTAGACTGGGTTGAGGAGTATGAAGAGGAGCAGCTGGATTATGAACCATCTACAGATGACCAGAATGCGCTCCTCGGAACAGAAGAACTAGGAGAATGGACGGAGGAGTATGATGGAGAACAGATGGATTATGACGGAGAATTGGATGCGGAAACTGAGGCCTTCGGTGCAGAATTGGAGGACTTGTTACGTGCTGACCTAGGCATCAATATGGTGTTCATTATGCCAGAAAAGTTCTGAGCGGTAGAAGGACAGAAGAGCACTCTCGACGGAGACGTATTTTCCCAAGAAAGTTTTGAATGCAGGTTGGCAGAAGCGGAAGAAATGCCAGAACAGCAAACAGACAGTCCCAGGACAGAAGGAACAACCCACAAGTTGGCTACAGATTAGCTTTGCTTCTCCAAACCAACCAAAGAAATGGCAAACCACCTCAGACCCTTGTTTATAACAGCAAACTTTGGGGGTGTTCCTATCCCCAAAACTATGGTAGATGGAGGTGCAGCCATCAACCTTTTGCCTCATAGAATGCTGAGCAAAATGTGCAGAACAGAAAAGGATTTAATTCCAACCCGCCTGACCATCACTAATTTCGCAGGAGGCATCACCAAAACCCTTGGGATCCTAGATGTGGATGTTTTGGTAGGAAGCAAGAAGCTGAAGGTTGCATTTTTTGTGGTAGATACTAGCTCTACCACTTACAACGCATTGCTTGGCAGAGACTGGATTCACCAGAGTCTATGTGTTCCTTCCACTCTTCATCAACAGTTAGCTTTATGGAATGAAGAAGGCTACATGGAGATAATAGAGGCCGATCCACGGCCATTTCTACCTTCTGCCATGTGTTGTGAGGCAAGGTATTATCATGATGACCTTGGTCCTTTCACCTTCTTTGGAGTCAACCAGAACGGCCGCCCCCATGGTGTCACGGCCCAGAGGCTCATTGAAGAAGGTCTAACCAATTCCTTGGAGGATTGGAACAGACCTTTTGTTCTAAATTTCCAAAACACTAATGTTTAGTCTCAATCAACAAGAAAAGGATCGAGCTGTAACAATCCGGTCCATTACAAAAAGATTGTTGATATACTGGGAGGAAAAGAAGTTTTTTGAGCAGAATTCAGCCATCAATATGGCAGAATTCACTCATGAAAGCACGGAAAGCCAGGAGGAAGAAGAACTACAGGAGGAAGTG